TGTATCGTAAAGTTGTATTCGGAAAGAATAAACCAGTTTTATTGAAGAAAGGACTTGTATCGCTAAAGTTTCGTCGGAACGAATTTACGGAAAATTAACTAATGAACAGAGACGTAACAACATATACTAGCATGAAATATCCGCATTCCAGTGCAGAGTTCAAAGGCCCCCCTCATAATTCAGACTCCAATATACCGATAAAGCACCTTCATTATCCCCAATTACTTCTATAGCTACCACATGTGGGATCCGTACCCAAAATAACATCCCCTCAGGAGACCCACCCGTGGTACTCGAAGAGGTGTTCTAAGTTTTGTTCCGCTAACTTACAAGTTGGAAGTACGAATACACTTTTTCAAACATGGCGTTTACGGGATCCAGAGGGAGGCCAAGAACATAAATATTGAGTGCCAGGTCCGGTTTTCAGCGACCATAACCTACTGTGTAACGTTCTAACCAAGTTTGGTCCTGCTAGCTCCAGAATTGGGAGGGGTTAACTGTACATAGGTACAAACACATACAAAGCTTGTTTCTGCGATCCTGGGGGAAGGGCAGGATCACAAATTACGATGCAACTTTCAGCAGCCCTGAAACCTATTTAACTTTAACAGCACAGCTGTAGTTGAAAAAAAAAAAAGCACCTTTAAAGTTGTGAAAATATAGAGCATACTGAAAATGGAGAGCCTAACATGCGATTCTGAATGATCAAATTTATTACTGTATCTTGGTCTTCCATAAACTCTTCTACCAAAATGTATCTACAGTAGATCTTAATCTCGTGTTCATCATGAAGTGTCGATAACATCATTTATATGTTGTAATTTTCCACAAACTTTTAAAACATATCACTGAATACAATTAATATATTACACTTCAACAACATGCAGAATAACACGTGCTTAAAAATATTTAAAATTACTATAAACATGTGCACTTAATACAAAAATCTGATGCTACTTAATATATGCTATGAATACTATTTTAAATCTTCAAAACCTCTAGACCTTTTTTTGGTTACAGTATCTTAATTTGTTACAGAAAAATTAAGTTAAGGGTCAGAATGATTGTTACGTTATTTTTGTTCAATCTTAGCTCATGAAATTATGCATATCAGACCAACTATCATGCTTCATATAAATACTCAACATGCACAACATTCCGGTGTACGTTATAGAGATTTAACTGTGATATTCGGTTACACTGTTGTCCAACAGATAAGTTCAAGTATCCTCTAAATGCAGGTCTTGGAAATGTTAAGCAGAGTAATACTTCAAACATGAACATCGAAGAATGATAAATAACTTAAGCAAACAAAATATTTTTTATTCCCAGTAATTGTAAATCATAGTTTATACTGACTAGCTTCTAAATTCTGTTGTGATTTCTCACTGGCTGCTAGCAGTGGGAAAGCAGGATAATCTTGCATCCACACAGAACTTGGAGTTGGAAAAGAATGATGTAATACCACACTTATAGGCCAGGGTTTAAAGTGGTATCCAGCATCCTTTAGGTTATCTACAGTACTCTGTAAAAGTGTTAGAACAAAGTCAAAAATTAGATTTCAGGCTACTTTCAAAGAACAATGGAAGGTAAATCACAGGTGAAATATCACAATATTATTAATCTTCATATTTGGTACAACAGAAACTTGGTGGAAGTGCTTGAGTGTAGTAAACACTTAGTATTTTGTTTGCTTTAATAACAGCAGACAGTCTTTCAGGCATTGTTGCAACATATTTAATCAAAGTGCCCTTTGGGATTTTATTCCAAATGTCTCTAATACACTCCCATAAAGTTTCTTTGGAAGTAACTCTTGATCTATCAAATCCCAGATCTACCCAATTGGGTTGAGTTCGAGGCTTTGTGCGGGACATTGCATCATTTAAATGACTCCAGCAGCTTCTTTCTTAGTTAAGTAATTTCTGCATAGGTTGGATGAGTGTTTGGGATAATTATCTTCTTGTTAGTAGAATCTTTTACCAATAACATGTAAACCACTAGGTATACCATAACGGATCAGTATCTGATGGTACTTGCGCTGGTCCATTATTTCATCTATTTTGCAAATATCTCCTGTCGCCTCAGCAGAAAAACACCCCCAAGCCATCACACTGCCTCCCCCATGCTTCATAGTAGGTGCTATGCATTGAAGGTAAGTATTTTTCACCTTTCTTCTGCCGCACGTACAACCTATGCCTTGAACCAAATATTTTAAACTTGTACTCATCCGTCCATAACGCCCTTTTCCAATCATTAACAGTCCTGTTTTTGCACTTTTTAACAAATTTCAGTCTCTTGACAATATTTGGAGATTGAAATAAAGGTTTTTTGACTTGACAAATTGCTGCAGACTTGAAATGCTTCCCAAACACTGTCGAGTACACAACAGATTGTTAGAAAGGTAAATGCTGAATGCCTAAGCTCAATGATACTGATGTTAAGCATCTTCATTTATGCAGCTTTCGGGACAGAAGGAAGACTGCCTCTGATCTCCAGCATGAGATAAACGACCATGTACCAAATGACAGAAAAGTATCTATATCTACGGTATCAGGGAGACTCAATGAGAAAAGAATATTTGATCATGTAGTGTCCAACCAGCATCACATAAAGCTTTTATGCAAATTCTCTGTTCTACTGACAATTCTCTATGCTTTTTGGCCCATGGCATGACAACAAAACTTAATATATAGCATTTTTATCAAGGTATATTTGTGAGGTGCTAGTAAATTGATTGCTTTAAGCATATACTAGTAACATATGCTAGCTTCTTTCTATGTTGTTGAGACACTGCATAGAGTACTATGACAGTTATTTCTGACCCTAAATGTGATCAGTATGTTCATTCAAACAGAACTCTTATGACATGCCCTTGGTAACAATTGATTTTTGAAGTTTATACAAGACTATGTCTCAAAATTACTTCTAATTTCACTATTCCATAACTAATGTAGGATGTATTTTTATTCAAATATACTTAAGTAATTTTTTAAATTTCCATGTAGATGTTCTGCTTGTAGTCCTAGCATCCTTCTAAATTGAATGCAGATCATAAATGTTCAATTAAATTCTTGCTATCCAATAGATGTTAGTACCAACTTGAATCCATGTCTGTGTCTATTCTCTGGAGTGAGATAAGCCCATTCCAAGGGATAAAACACAATTAGGCATATTAGTGTTAGTCAGAGGTTCTCTTCCTTGTATGTGTTGTTTGGAGTAGTCATTAACATACAGTTCTGAGCAAAATTGTCATTCTTTCCATTTTATGCAACTAATTCTTCCATGCCATTAGAGAATGTAAATTTCAACACTATGGTAATGCTTCACTGATTCCTGTTGACAATTCAATGAGCCAGGGTGAGAATACTTATCATTCTTCATAATTCCCATATACTTGGTAACTACAAATATCAATAGTATTAAAACTTTGATACCATAAAGATAGTAAAATTCACTTTATCTTTGAAAAGTGCAGAATGTTTTGTAATATGTGCAATGAGAGAAACCCTCAAAAGTTTCTACACATATTGAAGAACTGTTGAATAGAAGTTATTTAGTTTCCAGAAGAGACCCATACAAAGGATTTACTTTCTTTTATATAATTAAGATATTCAAAAAATAGATACGTGATATAAGGAGGGAAAAAATGTTGATAAGCAGAACAATGTAAATTGTTTTAGATGTTCAAAGTTCCAAATGTTATCTGTGCTAGACTTCTCTAATTTCACAAGAATGAAGGCCTAATGAAAAGTAACATTTATTGCAATTCTTTTATCTGAATGAAGAATGGAATTTTCTCATCACTATTATAGTTCACCGATGGCCTCAAAGTGTGTAACGACATTCTTTTGACAACAGGATGCAAACCATGAATCTTCAAATTCAGTCTGGGCACGTAACCAATAGGCCACATCCAGCTTATTCAGATATTGCAAAAACAACTTTGAAATAAGAAGTTTTAATATTCCCACTCTGTATAACATTTCATTATGTTTTGAAGAAGAAGAGTTGTATGTACATCAAAAGACTTTGGAGTACTGTTCTGGTGACAAATCACTCAACTATATTCAAGATTACTAACTGCATATTATGCAGAATATCTTTTCTGTGTTACTCAAGAAAATTTATATATCTTATATAATTAAAGAAAGGTTTGGACTATAATATTAAAATTTTTTAATGTATATTTACTTGTCATACGCTATTCTTATACAACTTTCATTACACTGATTATTTTTTCTTGTACAGGTAGCAATTTTTGTCAAATTTTAAAAAAATAAAGCGTCTTTTTAGGTTTTATCCTACGACTATAATTTATATTTTATGAATTCATTATATAATAAAGTCAAACAATACTTATGTTTTAATGGTTGAAACATTTCTCTTTAACTGACATTTTTAATTACTGTCACACTCTAGCATGTGTTTATTCATTAAGTTTCCAAATGTAACAGTTTTTTTTTTTAAGATTCCTTCTTTACTACATGTAAGGCATGAGCTATCTACATTAAGTTCACTGTGGATAATCAAACCACAGATTTTAGCACTAGAAGTGTGTAAACTTACTATTGAAATAGGGATTTAAAAGCTTCAATCATTAATTGCTGCACACTCGCTCATGTAATATTCCTAAAAAAACTTTGCAAAAGATGAAACTAGTTATGTAACTCACTTAACACACACACACACACACACACACACACACACACACACACACTCAAAGTATTCATTCAATATACTCTAAAAAATTCTACTTAACCAAAACATTATCAATGATGATGGTTCATGTAAAAATGAATATTTTTTTTTGCTCAATTCAGCCCCTTAACTATGTTTGAATTAAAACAATTGTACTTGTGATAACAATTATAACTCTGTATATTTTAAACAGAAGATACTTCATGAAAATGGTATGTCTCTTGAAAATCAAGGTTTAAAATGTGAAACATTACTGCTCATTTTAAAAATACTGCAACAATTATATCATACAAAATGTTCCTTTTAATTAAAAATAACCATTCATACAAAACTATAAAAAAAAATGATTCAAAGGTCAGAACTTTGCTATTGAAATAATTACATGAAATGAAGAAAACGGTTTTCCAGTATTCTTCCTAAATGAAATGCTAAAGTTAATGATATAACCTAGAATAGGATATGTCACAGTCCTTTGGAAAAGGGTAAACTAAGAAAATATATCTGTATACTTTTCACCACAATGTTCTTAAAGCTTATAAAAACTAAATTTACAGTCATACACCTGCATGTCACAATACTTCAAAAAACATTTCACACCATCAAAAAAGTAAATTTTTTTTAATACAAATAAGTTATCTTATGCTGAGGAGCATGGGTCCAGTTGATCTTTGTCCACTGCTTGTGTCCTTTTTCTTTGTAATGCTATCAACAGCAAAACACTTCCAGAGTCTAAGGGTTTCATCGGCACCAGCCGACACAACTGTCGTTCCATCAGGACTCATGGAGAGATGGAGAACACGTGCAGTATGGCCTAAAAAGGATTTTTTTTTTTCAAAAGTAATTATTATCGAATTAAAACACACACACAAACATACACATGTATTTTAAGTTCCAAATCTTCATGTTCATTCTATAAATATTTTGATAATTCTTGCACAACTTTTGGAGGTTCCAAGAACAGTATTGACTGAAAACAAAATTAGATGTTAATTTTTTTTCTATATTCCTGGTAGTATAAGATAAAGTTCATTTTTCATATAGAATTATAATATTAATAAGATACAAACACACCTGTAAGCTCAGCTACTTTTGCCATATTCGGGTACTTCCAGATAATCAGCTCATTGTTTGCATAACCATGGCCTGAAATAATCTCCTTATAGTGACTTGACCAAAGAATGGAACACACCTGTTAGACAAGACACAGTTGTAATAACACATTTAAATCATCAACAAACTTCTATAAAAAAAAAAAAAAAAAGAACTAAGATTGGCAAAATATTACAGTCAGTGTGGTAATAATATGAATTGTTAAAATAGTCAAACAAGCAAAAGTAAAATGATACTCCTTCCTCTATTCCAACAGTTTATAAAGATTACCTGTTTATACAATTCATAGTATTCTCACATTTATCATTCCTTTCAGAGTAACAGATAGGATCCACAAAAACAGATCCATTGAATACTAAGAGTAAAAGTTCATCTGTCCTAGACTCTGACCGAATCTCACACAAAGACTGCATGTTTTAACAAATTTGATATTATATATTTATTTTAATATCAACATTTGTTTAGATTTAGTTCATCTTTTAAAACATGAGTAGCTTATACTGTTAAATATGTATTGCAAAACTCCCGCCTAATCTCCAAAGTTGAAGAAGATTCTCGAGAGTAAGAATCAACAATATATGTATATACGTAAACACTTAAATGTAGTTCAGTATTGTTACGCAAGACTGAAGATCTCAAAACCATTATGGAAACAATGGAGAACCTGCTTGTGTAACTGACAGATCTACTACATGAGCCTTCTTCACCCATCACTGAAACAGTTTTTCAAACCAGAGCCCAACAGATATTCAGTAGATAGCTCCAAGTCTTACTGACCATTACTGGAACTTAACTACTCCTAAGCATGTCAATCACCATTATTCTCTTGATTGCTTGCATGTGCAAGGTTCCAAGACATTTGATTTGTAACCAATGAATATGATCATCATGATGGACTTTTTGTTAGGCTCTGTTGAGTCTAATAAATCTATCAAGCCCAAAGTTGCTGTGGTAGCACTTAAAAATAGGTTTGGTGCTAACAAGGGTAGTAGTAGTAGTAGTAGCAGTATCAACCTTCCACCAGATCAGAAAATTAAGAACAAGATCTTCAACCTCATACAATAAAGAAAGGTCATAATTGAATTTGAGAAAAAAGAAAAAGAGAATCAATTAGTGCGGTAAGGAGATGTGGCCATTGAAGTTAGTTTTAAAGTTCCTTAATTGCCAACTTGAGGAAAATCCTGAAACAGAGAAAGAAGGAAAAGTGTGGTATACAGGCTTAAATGCATTTTTTACCTTCTCATTTTAATGTAGAATTTTTTTAATTTTCATTTAACCTGTATCTATGCAGTTTTTGCACAACATATGGTCCAGAAAATCATTAAAGTTGTTTCATTCTAGCTATCAGTATATTGCTGTAATGCCGCAAGAAAGTCAACAACAGTAGTTTCCTTCTGTGGCAGAATAGACAATATCCACAAGTTAATGCCTCCCCTGTGTTGAATGAAAATGACCAGTTATGTGGGTAATGCTAGTCACTATGGGTAAATCCAACACTTCTTGTTAAGTAAAGAGCATTGGATTCACACAATTGTACCAAGTTTCTACAATCGTGTAGAAGGTACAGTTTACCATCATTCTTTACATAGAGTATGGAACACATTCAATTCAAACTTTGCAAGACCTTGTACTTTACATAAACTATGATACAAAACCAAAATGGATCAAATTCAATATCCAATACCACATACTGATGATTTAAATAAAGTTTATTTTTTTAATATTTTTTGGGGCCAATCATATTTTTAAAGAAAAAATTGTTTGCCCCAAAAGTAAGATTACAAACCTTGCAAATGAGATACATTAATTTAGAAAAAAAAAATGTTGCAAGTCAACATAAATTTTTTCTACACTAATGTGGATGACTACACTTATTAGCATATAGTACCCCAGATGAGAATACTAAACGATATCCTAAAAGCTTAGAGGATGTAGAGGACTCCAAACTGGGATTGCTTTAGAAAAGTTACTTAAAATTACCTGAGACTTTGTGTCCACTGTGTTTAAACAGCTTCCTAGATTAGAGTTCCAGAATCTTATACTCCTGTCTGCAGTACCCCCTCCACTTGCTAAAATATGAGGTTGCCATGGGCACCAAGAAACAGCCTGTTGTAATAAATTAAATTAATTGTAAAAAAAATACATTTGTAAACAGAAAACATGCCATCAACATATTTTTGCAATTTTTTTTAAACAATTTATCATAAGAGTTCCATATTTGAAAATTTACTATATTATTGGAGGTAAACATTTATAAAAGTCAATACAAATACAACAGACTTAAAATGTATGCTTACTCAGTTTAGCATACTCCTATGTCAAGAATGTAAATTAAATAACTTAATTTTTTTTAGTGTATTTGTTTCAATTTTATAAAAAAGCACAGTTGCTATCATATCTTTTAATATTCAAGAGTACTGTTTTAACACCAAAATTAGCACTGAGGAAAATTCCCAGTTTAGGGTGTAGTGTGTAAGACTTTTTTCTGATTGTTCAGTATTTATCTAAGAATTATGACGTGCAACACATATTCATAGAGTATACCCATATTGAAAGTGAAAAAATATTGATTTTTCATGGTATTTAAGTCATATTCCATCATAATAATGCTAATACCCAAAGAATTTTGAGAACTGGAAATGTCAAGATTGGCCAAGTACTAGTAAGACTGCATAGTGCTGGCTGGAATGAGGTTATGTTCACGCTTAGATATCCTGAACTAAAGCTACCTGTTTATACAACTTTAACATGAATAAAACAACTGATCTTACACTGTATAGCTGTAGATGCAGGGATGTGGAATTTTTGTCAATACCTCTTTGTCTAAGGGAAAAATATTGGCTGGAATGAGGTTATGTTTCTGAACTAAAGCTACCTGTTTATACAGGAATTTTTGTCAATACCTCTTTGTCTAAGGGAAAAATGTTGGCTGGAATGAACTTAGATATCCTGAACTAAAGCTACCTGTTTATACAACTTTAATATGAATAAAACAACTGATCTGTATAGCTGTAGATGCAGAGATGTGGAATTTTTGTCAATACCTCTTTGTCTAAGGGAAAAATGTTGGCTGGAATGAGGTTATGTTCACACTTGGATATCCTGAACTAAAGCTACCTGTTTATATAACTTTAATATGAATAAAATAACTGATCTTAAATTGTATAGCTGTATGTGCAGGGATGTGGAATTTTTGTCAATACCTCTTTGTCCAAGGGGAAAATGTTGGCTGGAATGAGGTTATGTTCACACTTGGATATCCTGAACTAAAGCTACCTGTTTATATAACTTTAATATGAATAAAATAACTGATCTTAAATTGTATAGCTGTAGATGCAGGGATGTAGAATTTTTGTAAATATCTTTGTCCAAGGGACAAAATGCTAGAAAAATATATCTACTCCCTTCACACCCTGTAAAACCAACACAAGAAAATAGAATATAAATGAATATTTTGCTGTTGTTTAACATTGAATAAAAACAGTACAATGTCATTGGCAGTTTAATATTCTCAAGATGGCGTATTCTGCATTTTGCATCCAAGCTCCATGTATATATCTATTCACGTATTTTTATGGTTTGTAACATTTAGCAGTTCGGACTTTACACTGCATCGTTCGTGAACTCATAAAGAAACCATGGTTTAGGTTAATGCTACTATGGACTAAAATGATTTCATATATAACACTTGAAAAGCTTTTTGTAATTTTTATTATATTATATATTCTTTCAATAGCTGACAGTCAAATTTTACTGAGGGCCTACTGTAGATAAAAGAAATGTAATATGTTTAATTGAAATACATTTGTTACTCTGTGTGTGTGACTGATAATTTGCAAATTTAAAGGATATACATAGTTTTTATTTGAGGTTTAGAGGTGTGAATTTTTTTGTGTGTGTGTGTGTGTGTGTGTGTGTGTGTGTGTGTGTGTGTGTGTGTGTGTGTGTGTGTGTGTGTGTGTGTGTGCGCGCGCGCGCGCACGAGCGTACACACTAGACTTTGCAGTCTAAAACTTTTAGGAGCTTGCGTAGCTCCTTCAGAATCTATCAAAAGTTTTTTATCTTAGTAACAGAATGAAAGATATGCAGAAACACAAACCACATGTCCAATGGGCAAAGTGTAATGGTAAAACTTTGTACCAGGCAATAGTGTATAATAATAATACACAAAATGAATATTGCTTCATAAATGTTACAGAAAATAACATACAAATATATAATTTCCCAACAAATATAATGATCCATAACTTTTATCCTCATATGAAAATTATTACAGGTCTTCAGTAAATTGGACTACCTACAAAATATCAATATTAAACTGGAAAACTGATGTAAGTTGCTTGCCAATAACTCTGCAGAAAGAGATTAATTCAGTTTGTTTTTGTTTGTTCCTCCACTTATCCTTTCCTGAGGAAAATTTGACAAATTTTTCCATGAACAGTTCTTGAAAATGACAGCAAAATAAGGATACAGTCACATTCTATTTTAGTATTATCAAAATCATATCCTTATCATTCTCTGAAAACTGATCTCAGACAGTACAAGCATGAAATGGGTGGACCATCTGCTGAAAGAGCTGTGAGGATGGTTTTCTTTGTTATACTTGAAATATACAAAAAAAAAAAAAATTTTTAAGTTCTATACAATGTCATTAATTTAATTAAAGTTTTTGTCAAAAAGTGAAAGTGTATACATGTATATCAATCTTGTAGAAAGTTTTGTTACTAAATTTGTAAGAGCTGAAATACCACGTATTTCATCCTTCCATAACTAGTATAGAACAGTGAGTCTCAAAGTGTGGTCCACAGGCAAGTAGTAAAAAATATATCTATTCATGTATACTCACACATTTTTTAAAATTTCCATGTAGTTTATGCATGTAGTTAAGACACTCATTGACCAGATGTCTCAAACTCGTAAATATGTGCTAATCCTTTTACACAGGTAAAATTTACATATTGCAACCTTTCTGCTGAACATTAGTGTATCTAAATATCCGAGTGTTTATTATTGAAAATAATTGGAGTGATCGTGTTCTTTTCAAAGAACTTTTTCCATGATTCTCTAGACAAAATTTAAGAGACCTGCACATGCATGTGTAAGATGCGTTGATATTTAAACCTAAAAAATATATGTTGAAATACATACCAGTAATTTGCATACTTAAGCAGGATGACATACGAGTACAAAGCAAGAGATAAGATAAGGAGTGGGGGGGGGGGGTCATAGTTTTCCTTGATTTTTACATTGTTTGGAATAATTTAACAAATTTTTCCCAACTTTTTTAGCATCTCTTTCAAATACTATGACATCCTAGGCCAATGGCTACCCCGAAAATAATATTGTACTTTATCACTGCATATCTTCATTCTGGTTTCACATTCTCAGATTAAAGACCACCCTCTTATATAACCTTCATTTTTTAATGATATTTCAACTTCTTGCAGAAAAAAAAATGATACTTTGGTATAAAAAACATTAAAATAACAACAACAATAAAAACCATTACCAAAGCCTTGACCTTAATCTTTTGAAGACACTGGCAAATGCTCACCATTTTATCTCCCCCTAAGATGATTGGAGCTACTACTAGCAACAACATCACCCTTCTCTAAAGTCAGCTGTAACTGTGCCATAGTTAAATATTTCATGTAATAAATTAATTAATAAACATTTATGTAGAGAGTTTGGAAAGACAAAATCTACAGTACACAACTGTTTACAGCCACTCTATACTAATTGTATACTGTCTTGTTACACCCCACCCCTCCTACTCCAATTTGATGATGCAGTACCTGTTATATAAATTTGGTCAAAATCCACTCATCCAATCTTTGGATATGTCCATAAGATTGGGGTGAACTTTTATGTACCAGTGATATTTTCACCTGTGGCCTACAAAAGTTAATCAAGTCTGACTTTGTAGCACCCATTATACAAGTTTGGTCAATATCCATTCTTCCTCTATCAAAATGTCCACAAGGTGGGGACATATTTTCTATGTACCAATGACCTTTCAACCTTAACCTTCAAAAGTTAATCAGGTCAAGAACTTTGTAGGTAGTACCTGTTGTACAGGTTTGGTCAAAATCCATCATCTAATCTTGAGTTATATTGTCTACAAGACTGGGATGGACAGACAGGAGAAAACCAATAAGCCCATCTACTTTGAAGTGGGGGCATAAAAAAAATTTGTCATTACAAGTTGCAGTTGAAACTGCTGAAAGCTGGCAAAGCATTAGAAGCCAACAGCCCTAACATTATTTCTATTTTATTATCTCCAACAAGCAACCACTTGTATTTCTAACCATGTGGGCTGACAAACGGTGCAAAGTGCCAGTCTAGCTGGCTGGCTCACATGCTAATTATTTTAACAATGCAACAAGTTGAAGCTGTAGTCTCATAATCCACATTTTATCATGATTAACCTGCAGCTCAAGTGGGAAGTTTAAAAACAACATGGCAACAGCAAGCAAAACAAGCTTGTTAATCACAATTATAATAACCTTCTGTGCTCAGAATGTTGCAGGAAAAATGACTGAAGTTCATATATCATGGTTGTATTAAAATTCCACAGTAAGATTTTGTAATATTTTCTTTGAAATATTAACTACCAATTCTTTTCTAGTTCCTTCCATTTTTTACTAGGAAAGCTGCAACATGAACCAGGAATTTGTGAGCATTAATGTTCAGCCCTAGTAATTTTCATAAAAATGAATCATCTGATACATTGTGCAATTATTCTAGAAAGAAAAAAGGATTATTTACTTCATATTTTTTAAACTTCCATTTTATTCTACAATGGTGATTTTGCAATACTTAAGTGTTAAGGTAGAGAACATAACAGCTAAAATAATTTTAGTGAAATAACTTTTGATTTTCATTTAGGAGGTTTTAGAAGATATGCAAAAAAAAAAAACACAACTTAAAACTGCAACATGGGGGTAAAAATTCTTAATATGAAAATCACCTTGTACTCTGACTTAGTAAAGGTTTTGAAGATTCACAGACAAATCTTTGGTAAAATTTTAAAAATCTGATTTTGTGTACACAAAACTTGTAATTACTAAAAGCTTGCCAGATTTTGTGAGAACACTAACTTTTAATACAGTAAGCGTATGTATAATTTTATTATTACATGATGGTTACAAAGTCAGTCAAAATGACCAAGCCCATACATAGAGTGCTTATGTTGCTCTGAGTATTAATATTGATGTATAATTGAATTATTGTTATAAAATTATTTATATTACTCTACATAATCAGTTCAACTATGTTGTTTAGTTGCCACTCGACCTTATCAGTTCACATGTTTCCTTAATAATATTCATTGTGGGACTGTGAGGTCAAGCCATGGATGCAGGTATTTTATTGGCCTCTTTTCTTTCGAGTATCATTTCACACTTTCTGCATATTTGGCATAAATGCCACACTGAAACATAAACCTCTGTAAAACAGGTCTTGTTCCTGAAGGAATGATTAGATGGATAATATATACTTATACTTGTCAGCAGTTAGGGTGCCATAATTTTGTATAGATCTTTAACACAACTGGCTGAGATGCAGCACCAAACATGTGTTAGTACCCAAACAATCCTAAGAACTTTAGGAGTGAAAAGCAAAGGAAAATGTATTAAAATTGCAACCAGTGCCTATGAGGATTTTGCCCAATAGCAGGACTTGTCATAGCTAGCTGGGATATGACAAGACACAGTAGTAAGCTGAAATGCAACATATATATAAACTGTTTTGGTGTGAACTAGATTAAACCAGTGAAGTGGTTTTTATATATTGGTCCTATTTAAGTCATTTATAAATTAGAAATAGGGTAAGGATCCATAACATATTTACTTATTTAACATTAATGTTTCACAATGACCAATACCATTCTCTCTCCTGTCAAACAATCATTGATTGTTATGAAACAATTTGAATTCATCAGTAAAGATCACCTTCATTCAGCTTTACTCATCTCATTGTTCAAAGTATGATGGCAATTTTGGCTTTAGGTTTAAATCTTTCTCCTAAACATTAGTTGAACACCCACACATCCACTGAAGCCACTTCTTATGTGAATCTTACTATTCTGAAGATGATGTTCATAATTTTCTTACAATTAGGTTAATTGCAAGATCCCTACCATAGTGTCTTGTATTATCTAATGAGTATACTTTGAGTTACTCAACATCACTTTTGCAGAGTTTGTATTTTCTATCTCGACTGAGTCTATTTTCACTGGTACTAGTTTCACATAGTTGTTTATCAGTTTCCTTACTGTTCCTACTGAAACATGAATTTTTGCCTCAATCTGTGATATAAAGTAGTCTTCACCATCCATAATTTTGATTTCTACTCACTTGTATCCCATTTTTGTCCTTAGAGGCACAAATGCATTTACCACCCAACTGCTGCGAATACCGTGACTACTTGTACTTTTATAGAATGGCGAGGCTCTGCCAATTGGTTGGATAACATTGTAGATTGTGAACATGTGATACAGTTCATTTTCATACAAGGGAGGGGGAGCATTCTTATTTAATACTCCTTTCATTCACAGCATACACAAGTATTGTGACACACACGCATACATAAGAAAAAACGTTTACATGACATTAAAGGTACTGTAATGAAAAAAAAAAACTGAAACATGTTGTGCAAGAAAATCAAAACAACTGAAACACTTTTCACATTTTGTTTGTTTGGCTCTATTAAATACTGATATAACTCCGCAACTGAACTGTATATAATGACAACTGTGTTGATAATCATCAACCCAAAGAAGTCTTAAAAAATATTTTATATCCCCCAAGGTTAATATTTTTTTGCACATTACTGTTTCATCGTCTAAAATCTAGTTTGATACATATTAATAAAAGATATTAAATGCATATTACACAACATAAGAAGTAACAAGTAATACATATGACCTTGAAATAATATTTAAACTACTGACAAAACTAGAACATTCTCTAAAGATTTTAGCTAACCTATAATAACATAAAACATATATCAAGTGAAATTGTTTTCATTAAAAAAAAAAATACACCCATACACACACACACAAACAAATACCAACTTAAATTAGCACCCAAAGACAAAAGCTAAACAAACTGGAATTACAAAAAGTTTTAAAAATCTACAAAATATAAAAAAGAGAATTTTTGTCAAAGGAGTACTAGCCTTATCAGAAATGGTGTAAAAGACTGACAGGGATCAAAATACCTCTAAACAAGATTAAAGCATTTAGTTTATGCTTATTAAATCTTTCAGTATGAATTACATTTCTCACACAATATATATATATATAATTTTTTTTTTTTTTTTTTTTTTAAAAAGAGTACAAGGTTTCAAAACAGAAATGCTTACCTTCACAGCTGCTTGATGTTGTGTAAAAGAGTAAATAGGTTGAATATCTGATTGACCAATACTAGCTGGCCATACATTCAAAATATTATCATTGCCCCCACTGGCTAGATACCGACCATCTGGTGACCACTTCAAACCACACACCTCCTGACAGTGACTCAATAAAGAACCAACATGATGATTTGCTACACGCACATCATGATGATGAATAGCACCACTTCTGCAACCACTGAAATGACAGAACAATTTTTAACTAATATAAAAATCTAACAATGAAAGAAAGTAATTAGTTTCATTTTCATAAATTTACTTTAGCATCGTACATAAAAATAGAAATTAATTGTCAAAAATACCTGGAACATAAAAAAAACCAAAACCCTTTAATGTATTACAAAATTGCTCTTTTTTCCAAGCAAAATCTGAACTTTTAAAGCTAAAGAGCATGTTAATGTTAAAATAAAACTCAAAATATAACTTTGGAATTTCAAGGACACTTTATCTTTAGGTCTGGTGCAATATATAGTTGTGGTAACAAATTTGAAACATTGCTCACAACTGCTTTTACTATTAAATACAGGCTTATGTATTCACTGAAGATTAATCCTAAAGAGAAAAATTACATTAGTTAATACAAATATATATATATATATATATATATAAACAATATAAATATTTCTATGCATAATTTATCATTCCTTATAAATATAATAACTAGCCAAAATGTTAATTTAAATATTTGTGTTAATAGATAAATAGATGAACCTCAAAGAAAAAAAAATGTTTAATCTGCTTAATCTCTTTGAAATTGCAATACTGTACCAATCAATAATAATAGTTGTTGATATCGCTGCACAATATAAATACTATGAGATATTAAGCCTTAAAGTGCAAACAAATAGAATTCATGACAGTTAATAACACCCATGTCAACTTCCTTTTATTTTTTTCCTATTCACCCTAAAGTAAACTAACCTCGAGAGAATATAGGCATTCCATGTTAAAGATCCTACACGGGCACTGTGGCTTCTCATAATCCGCACTCGTTTAGGAACTTCCACATCCCACAGCTGCACTTCAGCTGTACTTGTACCAACTGCTAGGTAATTGCCTTCTTTGATCCAAGACACTGATGTGATATACTCATTAGATTCCTCCATCTCCAACAACTGCTGAATTTCTCCTGATCCTGCATTCCACAGATAAACGTGGCCAGCAAGTGCAACAGCAAGATGATTATGTGCACTCCAATCAATAAGGTTCAGGTCTAAAATCAATAGTAAGTTATTATTTTGTTGCTAATTATCTCACAATAGTAATCATGTGTGTACACAAAGAGTAATTGTGAAGAAAAGTTTTAAACATCAAAATCAGAGTAATGATCACATTTTATATAAACTCATGAAACTCACAATAATCATCTACAATCTCTGGTGCATCCAAAATTCTTTCTGGAACCTGTGGAATGTAACGTGCAGTCTTTCTTGTAGATGCTGGAGCCTTACTTGAACTATAAATAACCCTGAGATTGTTGGCATGACCTATAATACAAGAATTATATTTCAGAAACTTAAAAATATGACCCAAAGAATAATCATACTGAATACAAAAAAAACTAACTTTTTTACAGACTAAGTTCTTCAAACATGTTTTAGTCAGCTGTCCACTTAACCTCCAAAATTCTGTAATAACCCAAAAAAGATTGTATTCCAATGTGCTAGGCACCCTTTGTTAAAAGAAAAATCTAATATACAATTAAATATACAAACATAAATTATGCATAATGCTACATTATTCGCACACTTAAATCAATTTAAATTAATATATGGAGATTCAAAACAAAAAAAATAAAAATGCTACAATCTAATCTACCAAATATAATGAATTAGATAATTAGTACCAGATAAAGAAAATGTTGAATTATGCAAATAAATGGACTAGCTAAGCAGCACAGTTTATGTGCACATTTAAGTACAAAAGAAGAGAAGAGAGGGAAGCTCACAATTTTCCCCACTTTCCTTAACTGTTTGACCTATCTTTATAGAAATGGTTAAACAATTTGCCATAGCCAGTGTGTCTAACAAGCAGCTTAAACTATTAAACTATACTGGCACTTATGGATAAAAGAAAAAGTGATGATTGTAAAGTTTATAGATTTGCAACTGAGCTAATAGTGAATGTTAGTTATAATTTGTCAGCCTGCCAACTCATTAATTACTTTCTACAAAAATCCAAAACTACTCTGGTATTAAAGTATGCTATTAACAGAATTTAGGAACTATACAGTGATGTGTGTTTTGTTTTACCATGGCTAAATAAAAACTTAAAGGTAAAAACAAAAAAGGCCTAAAGTCTCTTGAAATAGAAATATCAATTAAAAGTACTGTAAACATTATGAAGTTTGTACAAGTTCATTTATATTGGTAATATAAAACACAGTACCTTCAGGGGCTGGTGGTGCCTTGTTCTGATAAGACAAAATGCGAAAATTTGAGAGATCACCAGCTATGTTTTCACTCATTGATTTATGATACTCCTGTTTATTTGGACTCATTTTCTCATCTTCAGATTTCTGATCTCGGGTTAACTGTTAAAATTAAGAATCAATTTGTCTATTCACAACATAAATTATTCAACTTTTGACTGCTGTGAATCAATAAACCGTTAAAAATCTATAAAATAAAATCTTCTGTTATGAATTTCTCATCACAAAAACATTTCATTTACATTTCTTATATATTTAAAATGATAACAACCTCCCCCATCATATCTTACTTCTTCTGAAAGTTTACTTTCCTAAAATTGGATGATATCAGTTGTTAGTTTTAAACTAGTTTTAACTTATGTTTCAGGTTTTAAGCTTAATTGAAGCACAATACAACTAGAAGAGAATTAATATGTTAAACTGGTAGGGTCTCAGATAATCTGTGGATGAACCGATTGAGTGATAGAATGATAATTTAAGGAATGTCAATTAGGAGTGCAGTAAAAGTCTGAAAACTCATAACTGGACTTATTTGACAGAATTATTTCTTAGTGTGATGATTCATGGTTATACTTGCATACTGTCACCTGATCTCTACAGAAATGAGAGGTTCATGCAGTGATTTCTCACAGATGGAAGAAACAAGACACTGTATTGAAGTCAGAATAAAAATAATGAACATTATTTCCCAATACAGATAAAATGGGAAAAAAGTTTTAAAATGGATTTATCATCTAGTGGAAAGTCTGTGGTAGAGTAATGAAGGCATAATTAAATTACTTAATTTAAAAGTAAATTACGTTTAAACAGAAATAATGAACTTAAGAAAAGCACACACCCATGGTCAGTAGCCCGAAGAGTTGTGATACAACACAAAATTTAAACAGCACGTCTTGACTCCTTCAGGATCAGAGATCAATCTCTAAAAGAATCAAAACTCTTCACATTAAACATTTTCCTTGTAGTTGACCAATTAGAAAAGGGCATCAGGATACAGAAATATCTCTGCCACATGCAACAGCTGCAATATATCTCTCCAACACAAGGTAAAGACAATGCTACTATCACACAACACAGTAAGCAAATTCCTTGACTGGTCAAGGTACCATAACTAACAACTCAAGCCAAAATTTTGCACACAAGCTGAACTTCATTTAGTGTTCTGAAATTTGAAATTAGAAAATTGTTTTTGTGTAAAAAGTATATAATAGTTTGCCTAATGGTGTTTGTTTTAATTAAAAAATGGTTGGAAAGATTTATGGAAAGCAGTATGTTTGTTTTTGAAGATTTGGTGAGTCTTAGGCAAGTGGAGGGGGTAACTAATGAGAGTGAATAACATTTATCTTGTGCATTCTCCTGTTCAGCTGAGCTTCAAAAGTAATGACTATGATCAACAGTATTCAAGTGCTCTTACACATTGTAGCTTTATTCTCCTCAATGATAAACACATTTTGACACATAATGCTTGGAGATGGATTGAATGGGTAACGAAGAAACTTAAATACAAGTTTAACATAACAGCAAATGTACGTTACAACAAGGTTTTGATGATGACAAAACCTTGTCAAAACGTTGTACATTTGCTGTTAAACTTATATCAAAGAGTTTCTTCATTATTATTTCAAGCTGTCTCCAAGCTTTATTAGTCTCAAAGTGGGTTCCTCATCAAACATTGACATGTTTCAGAAAATAATACCCCATAATCTATAAACATTCTTTCATCTAATACAAAGAAAGTTTAACTATTATGCAGATCCCCCCCCCCAAGTTAACTCTACGAGCAAGGTAAATAATATACCAGTACATATATCAATACTGACAATCTGATCAGAATGCCTGAAGGTGTCAAAATGCATCTTCTTCAGGCATTTCAACTTATACATCCATAGCATTTTTACCAATCTTCATGATAATGTATCTTATGGTATGCATTCTTTATTTTTATTGAATAAAGTATCTCCCTGTCCCTTGTTTTCCATTTCATTCTTGCTACGGAACACCTTAAAACCTTCTAAAGTAACATTCTCCTGATCTTCTCTTTACCATAACTGTATATAATGTTTCAGATCTTTCATATAAACAAAACAAAAGCCTCAAATTCTGACAACTAACTGCAGATACTTGTAGAAGTAGTAATAATGTAAAATACCCTGAGCTTGTTATTTTGTAAATTGGTACAATAACTTACTGGCCACATGTCTTTTGAAAGTCTTTGTTTTGTTTTGAAGTTAAGCACAAAGCTACACAATGGGCTATTTGTGCTCTGCCCACCACGGGTATCGAAACCCGGTTTCTAGCATTGCAAGTCCACAGACATACCACTGTGCCACTGGGGGGCCTTTTGAAAGTCAATACCTTTCCTTTGAAGCTCAACAATTCTCCCTCATTTTTAATTTAGCCTAATTATTAAGCAGTGAAATCACTGAAATGACATACCATATAATGACCAATTTCAAACTGCATTCCACTGCGATTTGGTATAAACCGGTCTCCACTGTTTCCTGGTGTCTTTGGTGTTTTGGCTCTTCCTGGTGTTGATTTTGATTTACCTTCAAAATGGAAGTTTTAAAATTATAATCATGTTCACTTAGTATAGCTAATGTGGAAGCAAAGAAACAAAGACTTGGATCAATTTTATTCCTCCCTTCAAGAAAATAAAATTAAAACACTTAATTATTCTAGATTTACTGCCACTTAATAAATCTGAATGTGTAAATTTATCAAAAGTTGATGTTTAAGTAACTTTAGCTAAGTAAATTCATTCATTGACAATCTTTTTCTAGCTGAAGCAGGAGTTAATCTAAAAGGCAGTCAATCATCAACCATTAGAAGATCACAATGATGAATGAATCGTGCAAAATGTGAAAGTTTGAGAAATTTATGTACTTACTAGATTAATTAAAATTTCAGAAAACAGTTTTTCAAACAAACACTGGTTTTCATTAAAAACCAGAAAATTATTACTACCTGCAGTTTAACTATTCAAGTATTACTGATGACACTGGTCTTCAATGTTTTCCAAGAAGAGCAAGCTACCTACTTAGAATAAATTTTTTTTAAAAATCATTCTGATAATAAATAAGTATATCTAATACAATGTATTTTTCTTGCATTATTACTTATGAAGATTAAAATATATCATTTCATCAGTTGGGTACCCTCGACATCAACTATATTTATGATCACAATTCCAACTAGAGAGGCACTCAGTAGAATGCATACCTCTGCCATGTAGCATTGATCATATTCAGCTCTCAAAAAATATGAAAATGGGCTCGTAGTTATCAACAGACAGACCATTTTTGGAAAGGCTGTGAGGAATAACGTTTAACATGTCCCCAAGTTTGATCAAAATCCAATCATTTTTGATGAAGTTATAGAGCAAAAATAGTGAGAAAAATCACTCCCATGTTAACAGATAGGGATTGTTTTGGAATTTTGTGACCTTGACCCTCCAAAAACTAATCACTTCTAAGTTGGGTTATAGTCTAAATGTATACCAATTGTCATCCACGTCCATTCAGCCATTTGAGAAATCTTGCTGACAAACACACAAGAGTGAAAACATAACTTCCACCCACCTTTGGTGGCAGAGGTATTTAATATATCACAAGGTTGGGCCAGCTTAAGTTAGTCCTAAATACATTCAAGCTAAAAATGCAAATCAATCTCTATAATAAAAGAATAACTTTACACAATCCTCTCTAAAACCATCTAATAATGAATGAAAAGCCATTAGGTAGCTCTTCATATGGTAACTTCATAAGAATATGGCTGTTGTTCGTTATTAAGCACAAAGCTACACAAAAAGCTATCTGTGCTCTGTCCACCACAGTTATCAAAACCCAGTTTCTAGTGATACAAGTCCATAGACTTATCACTGTGCCACTGAGGACAGGAATGTGGCATCAAAGATAAATTACCAAGACATGTTACAATTTAGGCGTGGAGTACAGCCAAAAAAAAGTAATGTTTATGAAGATACAAAATAAGGTATTAAATAAAAACTTGAATTGTACAATAAACAGCTAGAATAGTGATTCTGTTAAGTGAAATGTGTCCAATGTAACTGCTACTACTTTAAACTGTCACTAAAACACGTGGAGCAGGCAACAGGAAGCATAGTTAAATCTTCTGTAAAAGCCAAAATGCGAACATGATAGGTTCAACAATAATGATAATAAGGCTTACGAAGTAAAGTTATAACAATCTTAAACATTGCAAAGAAAGTAATTAGCAAAAATTTGTTTAACTTAACTAATGATGTAGTGTCAGACTATATTAGAAAATGTTATATAGCTAGTATTAACCATATATAAGAAATAAAACCAGTAGTGGCCAGTACACTAAAGTGGTTCACTACTACCCTAAACAATTTCTGAAAAAATTAAAGAATGAAAGTTTTTAAAATATTGCAATATTCTGTAAAATTTCTAAATCTGTTGAATATCCCTCAGAATTGAATGAATTTTGTGTTTAAAATGTGACAGAAGAAACCTTGTTTGTTAAAAAGATTATCATCTCTATCCAAGAAGTCTTGTAATGTTGAACAAATTCTATTGCATCTAACAAGCTCCAAGTAGTAAATCCTGCGGCATAAATTGATATATTTGTATTCAGAAACTGAAAGTTTATAACTTCAAAGTTTAAAGTTTCCATTTTCGATAAAACTTTAATTATGCTGATACCTAACTTCAGATATTTGCTTTGTTTTTAGTGAACGTTTTTTTTTTTCTAGAATGAGCTCAGTTGAATAAATATGTTCGGCTGTATCAAAAAAACCTTTATAATTAGGTACGAGAACATCAGTATATCTACGTATGTAACTGAGGTGCAAAGCTTTACTAAGTCTTTCTTACTAATGTAAAATGTAAGATACATGTATAAATTGGTTGATAAAGAAAGTGTGAAAGGTTTGCTAATAAAAATCACTTTTGCAGTCAGGACTATTGAAAAGGTGGTGCAGGCTATGGCAATTCAACATAGGCCTGAGTGTATTATTATTTTGTATTTAAAAGTTTGGCCTTTGGTAAAAATAACTGAGTCAGCAATTTTCAAATACCCAAGTACGTTTACACCAACCAAGTTGAACTTGGAGTCAGTTTGGTCTCAAATAACCCTTTCCATCTGTCCCTTCAATGTACCTGTCAAGATATCAAGAGGTCTGTCTTCCACATCATTGCTTCAACACATTGTTTGATATTTATTTTTGCACCAAATTACATTCATTGTTGCCTTGAGCTGCTTCACACAATCATAGCTGCAGTAATGAGTCTTCTTGTTAAAAATTCAGTTCATAGTCTACTTTGGTAAGTACAGACATTTCTCAAATTTGACCAGTTCACAAAACAATTGGCCTGAAATTTGTGCTCCATTCTCTTTCTTTATTTCACTTTTTCTCATAGGCAGTTGATTGAAAATAAGTTATTACAAGCATAAAAGTGGCTGGTAAAAGGACAGAAAAATTAAAAATGCAAAAACAGGGTAAATAAGTCATTAGCAGCATTTTTAGTTGTTCACATTTATAATTTCTCGTTGTTTACAATACACTTTTTTAAATACATTTGTGATCTCTTATTCTACAGAATGTTCTATTTATTAGTTATCTTGATACATATATAGCACAACTGCCTAAGCTAAGCTTATGTAATTAACTGTAGGCATAGGTCTGCACACAAAGGCTCGCAAAAGCCTTTGTATGGATCTGCTTGTAGTTGAATTCTGGCTTGTTCTGCTTTTAGTATATCCTGATTTAACTACTAGTCATTAATAGCATGGAGTCTTTTGTGCACAAATCACTTAACATTTATATGTTATATTATGTTTAGTAAAAAGCAGCCAGTAACTAAGTGTTGAAAAGAAAAAAAAAAACACCCAATAAAATTGGTTTATTTCCCACTGCATTTTTCTTCAGTTGCTAAGATTATACAGGCAATTAAGATTTAAAGAAGTATTTTGTGAAAATTCATAAAAAAAACAGTAGCAACACCAGTAATAATACACAAATAATTAAAAATTAGAAAACAGAAACAAGTTTATTATTCTCAAGGGCCCGAGTAAAACTATTCTCAGCATCATGTACATTTAGGTTCAAAACAGCCTCAAAAACCTTTTTGTGGAAATTTCAAAATAAGGCTGCAAAAAAACTAAAAATTCTGCACAGCATATATTAAATTTCATAAACTTAAAAGCATTGTGATAGCTAAAACTGGTCTATTAGTGGAATTTACCGATTGATTAATTGCTTACATTTAAATGATTATTCTCACATGAGGCTTGGATAATTGGTATAATCTGAAACATTAGTTGATTAAGTTAAACAACCTCCAATTAACCGAAAGTAATAATGAGAAATCATAATGCTAATATTTTGATTGCTTGAATAGTTGGAATAATCAGAAATGCTCATTTTGATTAGTTGCTTATTTTCTTGACGTTACTCTATTTAATTCTAATTTCCATGAACCAACTGTTTTACGCGACACTAATTGATGCTCACAGGTGATCAATTATGTTTACTAATCACACAGCTTTATTGATAGCAAGGCTAAGCAAACAGATATCCAGATGAAGGAATAAAGAGCTCTACCATATGTTCTTCAGAGTATTATGCAAAAGATTAAATTAAAAGAATACTGTTCTAACCTTGGCTAAATATGACAGAAGAAGAAATGAACACATCTGTTTAGTCACCCCGCATATATATAATGAGAACAGCTATATAACACATCTCATCCGTTAGAAAAAAAGAAACATCAAACTCACCTGGTGTATTTTTGGGGGTTTTGTTATTACTGGTTACATTCTGATTTGAAGATATGTTCAGTGCAGATTGAGATAAGCTAGATGTAAGACTCTGGGAAGCATTCAGAGAATTGTTGACACTTGATGTTGAATTCTCTAGGGCTTTACGTTGCCATCGAGGTACTGGGCCTACAGTTATAGGTCCATCCATACGTAGAGCATTATTTATATCTTTTTCCAAAGCAAAATGTGACATCTGTAGTAGTAAATCAGACAGCAAGCTAAGTGTGAAAAAAATCTTATTAGCAATATAACTGAAGCACACAATAATATCCAACATTATTAATTAACCGTACGAATCACAGATATAAATATAACTTTCTAAGTTTGTCAAATAGTAACAGTATTTTGTTAAAACTATAGAGGTTTATTAAAAACACTCAACAAATAAAATACATTTGATTACAAAAAAGATGTTAGACATCACAGGATAAAACAACGACAAAAGAAACAATTAGTCTGTTATTTTCTTTCATCTTCCTCTGCTCATTTGAGGCATGATGATCGTTTTTTTCTATAACTGTGCATCTTTTACTGAGCTTTTGCTGTTTTTTTTTTAATGCAGTATTTTTTTTAAATCTCCATTCTCCATATTATTTTAAGCAATAGATTTTCCTGTTGATGCAGAATAAAGTTTAATAATACTATTTTGTACAACTTGTCTTCATTTGACTTCTTTACTGGTGAAAAACTTTAAAATAGTGTAATGCTTTAGATGAAAAAGGAGTTGAGGGCATAAACACTGTACTCCCACACAAAACTTCCTATAGAATTATAGGTGTTGCAATTTGTTTTTAAAACTTCCAACATTTCAATTTGATATTTATTAGTTTGCCTGCAGTCTGATAAGGTTGATAATGATGGATGTCAAAGGTATTGCTCACAAGATTTGATTTTAAAGACCCAGGATTATTCGTAGGTCAAATTATTTACCTATTAAGTGCTAAAATTGTTGCCTTATAGAACAGAATTCCCTATTTGGTGTGTGAACTGGCAAGATACAATCCTACACTGTTTGTTCAATCATCAATGGATAAAAAACACAAAATCAAGGACACTGACAAAAAGATATTTATCTTATCCAGGTTACATTAAGATGTATATTTTACTAATTCAGACTGACTTTAAATTACATCCAATGGGAGTAAACATGGGATATGGTATTTCACAAAATGTATATAAATCATATAATTTTCCAACTCCTTTGCATTTTGTATAATTTTTCATCAGTAAAAGATGTTGAATGTATGTCTGAGAAGTTAATATACGAGTGTATTCTGCATACAGGCCAGCTACATAACTAGTTAAAATATGGGGGTATTCTGCATAATTGATCAATTCTGAATAACAAAGTTAACATAGGGCCAAATCTGCATAGCAGGTCCATTCTCCGTAATGCATGAAAAAAAAAAGTATTGGCTTTTTCCCCATTGTATTTTCAATGCTCTCACTTTTTACCATTATGCAGAATATAACATATGTGAAATCGCATCTCTGCAACCCCTTATGCAAAATCACCTCATATTCTAACTGATGTAAAATAAGTGCATCCCAGTTAACAGTTGTAATGTACGTACCGAGTGAAAAATTTATAATTCTCATGATTAGAATTAAGGATTTGTTAATGGGTTTCCTGATAGGGGGACTGACAAGAATGGAAATAACTTGAACATTAAGTATAAAAGGTACAAATTTTGGAAGCATAGAAAAAAAAAGAACTGCATTTTCAACAGGATAAAAAGTTGTGGAATAGTTTACTTTATGATATGGTGTGTACAATTATATAGATACACAAAGTGGAAAAGGGGCATAGAGATCTAAAAATTAAGGCTCTATTGCTATAAAAATATGACATACAATGGGAGAGTAAGTAAGAATTAATTTCTCTATTTAAATTAATCCTAAGACTCAGTTCAAACCAAGATATGAATGCCTATATAATCTAAATTAGTGCAATGCTATATGATTATCAGTTTTAAGTAATGATTTTTAGTATATCTTAAAAGCTTTTTATAAAGTTCTGTTTTGGAAACGAACATATTAATTTGCCCTTAAGATGTTTGGATCTAACATCAACATTAAATTTTAAAAAATTATATCATTTTACATCATAATCTGCAAGCTACACAATCAAAGCAGGGCTATTCAGTGCATTACTAAAGATTATATTATGATTTAACTTGACCTACAATTGAAAACGTGTCCCTTTTGGTTATCAAAATAAGTACATTTTCATGCAATGCCTTATAAGAACTAAAATTAATTTGTATGTGAGGACACTTTCTATATATCTGACTCAACTTAAATGAATCACAAAAGATATAGTGTGTCATAGCAATATACATCTGTTTGATAATACTAGTTAATCAACCAGCTATTTAACAGAAATGTGTCAATGTGCAGTACTTGGAAGAGAAAGTTAATAAGAATACATTAACTAAAACAGTAAATAGTACATAAATCTTAATATGAAGGAGAAAACAATAAGAGCTGAAAAATTCTGAAAACTTTGCACAAATTAACACACTCAGTACCAAGATTACTAGTAACTAACTGGCATCAAACAGACTTAAAATCTAACTTAAAGGTACTCAGAAAACAAATTGAATAACCAATATCAATTTACTTGGTTTATACAGAAACGCAAAGCAGAATGAATTTGACAAATCTATAAAAAAAAAAAGAAATTTTAAACATATCACAACAGTACCTGGACAGAACAGGTAGAGAAAAGTGTTGTTGGTATCTACTTTATGAGTATTCTCATTGGTTTCAAACTATGTTACCACCTTATTAGTTCTTAAAATACATTTTACACCACTCTCAACAAGATAAAGTTGACCCTATTAACACATAAATTAACCTAAGAACTTGCATTAATTAGAAATTATACAACCTCGAAATTAAGTCTTGGTCAATAAATTAAAAAAGGAAAAACAAATGAAAACTTGCAAAAAGTGGTATTCCTTATCTCAGGATACACAACACATGCCTTAGCCATCCCATTTTTATCATTCACATATAATTATTTAAATGATGAGATACTTCTTCATTGTTACAATTCACGGCTGAAATGTTTCGCAACAAGCCAAAGTAGGTAAAGCACTTAAAGCTGTTTTGTTGGTAGTAAAGCTCCATGTGGCTGGGGTAGCTGTATGTTGATACACAGGTTTTCTTTCTTGTAGGAAGAGATCTACTTTGATTTGATTTTCACTATTTATGTTGTTCATATATTTTTTCCCCAGTTTGATAATGACAGATGAATATTCCATGTACTAGCACTCAGTCTAGCAGGGCTAAACAAGTCCAACATTTGTACTGTTTCCTAGAACAGATATGAAAAAAGGATTTGTATATCTGGCTATAATGTTTCTTACCCATATACTCTAACTGTGAGATAGATGTTAAAAAAAATTGCCAAAGGAGGAATATGGCAATATAGCTACTTATCCTATTGACAGTTCAGGTGTATACACCACAAAATCCTATAAAAGCCTTGATGCTTATGCATTTTATCATGCTGGACATGTTCAGTCCATCTTATAGCACGAGGTGTCTTCCAGAAGTCCTGTACGAGTCCTGAAGACCAAGGTTAGTCCATCACAAAGTGTGACAGACACACCCAAGGAACCAAGGATAATTGTCAAGAAAGATAATGGGATGATTTACTCAGCACATTGTACATGTATGGCAGGGTAAGCATCTCAGTAGTTGTACTTAAATTTTATTTGATGTTAATAAAGATTGCATGCTGTTTTGTGAATTTTTGTAATGTTTGTTTTTCTTACATATTTATAGAAAAAGATATTGTAGTGTTATAAAGTCTTGATAATGTATTGATTCATTTGCCCTTTATTCATCATTTCCATTGAAATGACCATTCTATTAAAAGATTATTTCAATTCATTTCAGGCTTGGAGAAACATGATTTTCAAAGTTGAGGCATGCATTCGTATGGATATCCAGAGTTTGTATACATAAGCTGCTGCACCTCGAATAATACTTACAAAAAGACAGTAATTAATTTAAGAACTCAAATACTGGTTTTGTTTGAACAAAATTAATGTGCATATAACAACAGAAGTATTAGCAATATCCCACCACATAAGTTCTGCAATTGTTTACTGGTATTTGGCTGACATGTACAATTCATAACATTAACATGATGTAGAAAAATTATGCATTTCAGTAAAATATTCAGTTATTGCCTGCACAATAGTCAACTTACAGCCATGAAACTTGAACAGTCTAGTAGGTATTGTGCCTAAAATATGCTCAAATTTCAAAGAGATGTAAAAAACTGTTGGCTTTTTTCTTATAACTTGATAGCTCACATTTATAATCATAGGCTATTAATAAGAAGCTAATATGAAACTAATATAGACTAAAAGCTAATATCAAAATCTTCTTCATTTACACATAATTGCAATCATCCACATATTTCATCATATTTATCAGGTAGCACGTTTGCCAACAAGGGACACTGATTTTTCTTCTGCAAGAATGTGCCCAAGAAGATTTGAAATTTTGCCAAGGGTTCTTCCTGTGTTGCACCAGAGATACCTCGCCTGATGCAAACTGTGGGACATAAGTAAAAACTGCTACAGTATTTATTGTTTGTCCAAAACAACTGTACAAAGGGGACAGTGCAACAGATACTGCATCTGAAACTGAACAAGATTACACAATTGGCCTCCCAACTGTCCTGACAATGTTGTATATTCCACAGTACATCTCTAACATCAGTGCAACTGGAGCAAAAGGACAGAGAGCTGTATGAGAAAGTTGATTTGAAGGATAAATCTGATTCTCTTGACCTCCTTGATGAGATGACAAGACATCAGTTAAATTTTCCACTTTGGTTTGCCTACAAATGTGGAAGAATAACAACATCCAAAATACATGACGTAATTGTCAGGTGAGCTGTTACAGCACCAGAAAAACTGGTCAAATATATTATGCACTATTCTGGTACATTCAGTGCAACAGCAACTCAGTGGAGTATTGATATGAAAAGCAAGCACTAAGACTACTAGATGCCAATATCTCTAAAGCTGGCCTCTTTCTCTCTCTAAATCCCTACCATATTTGGGTGCATCACCCGATAGAATTAGAAAATGTACATGCTGCGATAAAAAAAAAGAGTAATGACAGAAGTTAAATGCCCTTTCACTCACAGGGTTGCAAGTTCTGAAATATTATGTGGAAACGATGATGAGAATCTTAAAGTTTTTCACAGATACTATTCACAAGTTCAGTTAAATGCATACAAGTGAAATTAATAACCATTTGTATTGAAAAGGGTATTTATATCACTGAAGTCTCATGTGACTTAGATATGCTGTACATGCAGTTAAAAAAAATTTTTTTTTCAATGAAATTCCATCAGAAATCTTGTATAAACATATTGAATCTTCCCTTTCATGCCCAGCATCTATACATCAGAATTACATTTGTGGCAAGCCACAAGATCATTGAACAACAAGTATTCTGTAAAGAAGTTTCATTATGCATGTGTTGGGGTTGTTCAAAAGCCTTAAACTGAATGATACTGTCTAGTATGTAAAAGAATTACACTAAATTGATGCCAGCCATTTGCAGTCATTCATACTGTCATGACTAAAACCTGACAATCAGACATAGGGCAATTACATGAGTAATTTAATCGATTACAGTTACTTGCTACATGTACAATTACATGAAATAGCAATGTAGTCAAATATTATTACAATTACATTGCAAGTAATCATGATTATTTCTATCTCTAATGTTCTGAAAGACTTCATAAATAACTTGTCATAGGATTTTATTTAGGTTTAAATGCATGTCAGCATATTTATTATCAATATACATAAGAGCATTTTTAATACATATTACCAGAAAACAATACAGAAACATTATAACTGAAGATGTTTTTCATATGATGGTTATATTTTTCTAACAATTAAATGTTTTGACACTTTGAATGTCCTTTAGCATAAAAAAAAAAGTCAAACATCTAATTCGCTGAAAACAGGTATAATAACGGCTCATACAATAACAAAAAAAATTTATAATGTCTCAATACAGAATCAATTATTACTATCTACTTAATACATCAGCTCAATACTACTTTACCAGATTCCTACAAATTGTTCAATGCTGTACATATTTTAACAATGTCGTAACGGTGCCTTTGCAAAGTTATAAGAAAGACTTCACTAAAAATTTTAAAGGACTTTATCCTCCTAATTCCTTTTTCAACATACATTCAAACTCTAGCAATTTTTCTAGAAATTTCAACTTTGCTCGGTGACAGTTGTTTCTTGCCTTTTGTGAGGAAAGGAATAACAAGCTCAGCCTTTGCATTAGCAACATCTTCTCCTATTAAAACTCCTCTGTCAGATAAGACTTGATCTCTAAATTCTAATTTATTGAGAAACCCACACTGTTGTGTCAGCATTTTGTTCAACACTCTACTTCCCCATATATGACAGATAACAAATGGTTCAGGTTGGAGTAACCCCTACTAACACTTTCATTGTGTTGTGGTGCTTATAGGTATAGGTACTCCATGTTTAAGCCCTTGCTGTTAAATCTGATGGTCTTTCAATAAAAAAAAATTCTGAACAATCAATATTGACTCTGCACCATAGACAGGAGTCTTTAAGTACAGATGGCTGGTTTTTTCCCACAGGTTTCTCAATCTGGCAACTGTAACAAAAATTCAAGTCATTTTGCCAACACTTGAAGAGCCTTTTGAATTAGGTCACTTACAGGTCGTTCTGTCAATCTAAACCGAAAAGCTAAGTCTTGGTGACAGGGATTTAATTTTAGCTTCATTATGATTAATAAAACATGGTTTTTCTATAGTAATACCCTTAACGTGGGTTATGTAGTCATTCACTAACTCCACTATTCAGTTGAAAATGACATGCAAGGTAACCTCAGTAAAAAAGTTTATCAGAATTTGTGATTTTAGAGTCACAACACTGAAGAGAGATCTAATGAGTTGCTTCTTAAGCTTATTCTCATGTTGAAGCCTTTGAAACTCATTGTAAAGTCTCTGGTTTTCAACTTGTAATGCCTAATATGCTGTCAGTAATGGGACCTTTTCTGCATTAAATTCTGAAAAATAAAATAAAAAATCCATTACTTCAGTTATGTCAAAAAATTTAATTAAACTGAGTAATGTTTCATTAATTGAATATATGTTATACAGTATAACTACAGATTAAGATTTATGTTTAAGCATAAATGATGTATATATGTGATCTAAGAAGATGTGTTTATAATCTACAACCATAACCTTTTTTGTTTGGACCTTTATCTCCGAATCGTGGCATATGTATGAATAATTCTAACAATACTTCAGCATATTCTGAATGTTTCTTCTTCAAATTCTTGTTTTGTACTCTGTTTCAGCCACTTCAGCCCTTTCCTTTCAATTTATGGCCCTTGTATAATGGCTTTCCTTTGCAGAAATTACAGAACTACTTGGAGTACAGTGACTAAATATGATGGGAACATAGTAGTCATTGGTTGGGTCATCTGATGATCACCCCAAAATAAAAAACAAAAATTTATCTAAATTTTAAAGATTCTTTGGAATATTTGTACACAGAGTTCCAATAACAAGGCCTTAAAAGGGGCTGTTTTTTTTTCTTATTGTAAATGTCAGATAGTTTTATTTCTAATAAAAAGATAAAAGCTTGTAAGCTTATTCTGTTTTAATCAGCTAAATTATAGTGATATGACTACTTACTATGAATTATAAACTAGCAATAGGTATTCTACAGTCTCCTTCCTTACTTCTATAAATAATCTTACCTTCAATAAAATGATCAAACTAATCCTTGTATTGATATTGGGCTCCCAGTTCTTTCTCCCAATAGCATTTATCCACTTTGTCCTTTACTCATCTTTTTGGGGAATATGGAAATATTCCTTCCCACTATCTTTCTGAAATCTGTTTGCACAATTTATGGGAAACAACTAACAGGCATATTGATAATATTTAATAAAGAAACTTGAAACACTGCTGCACAAGATACCTTAATCAACAATATGTGTCCAGGTCAGCTAAGGCCTTCTTTCTCAAGTTTCTAACCAAGCACCTTCCACTTGGTGCCCAATAAAATGCCATAATTTCCCAGCCATTTATAAATTTAATTCACCATTTATCACATAAATAGCAAACATCTTTAGCAGTAACAGCAGACATATTCATAGTTTCACAACACATGAATGTGCTTTTTTCCTGATATTACACAAGATAATATTAATTTTAACATCAAATTGCTACAAAAACAAAATAATATTGCTGCTGCCAAAAGTTTCACTTCTAAGCACCTTTGTGCTCTGCAAAAATTAGAAACCTCAACTTTTGCAACAACTTGAATAAAGGTCATTTATATAACCCTACACTACAGTGCTACAGCCCCTAGTAGTAGTACTGGTAGTAATACTAATACTATTGGTAATAGCATAAAAAATCACACATAAGTTGCAACATGAACGTATTGATTTACACTGTAGAAGCCTTTGCATTGCAATAATTAAGAATGATCCAATACATGCGTGATTACAACACAAAACACATTATCAAAAAGTTTTAATACCATTTGCTTATAAAAAAAAAAAACTATCTTCTACTTACAGCGTGTGAAACTTCTAGCTATTTAAACGAACACTGCCTTGATTTTGAATTTTAATCTTGTTGCTGCTCTCTCATTGGTTCTACAGCTGCCACCTATTGAGTTTTGCATGTAATACATTTATATTTTCTTATTACTGTTAGAAATATACGACTGATTAAAATACGATTTCAAGCAGATTTTATTTTTATTATGGCTGTAAAAAATGTTGAAGTAAATGTACATCAATACTTTAATACAAAATAAAATATAGTTATATTTATGTAACGTTAATGCTAATCATACTCAGACATCTTGTTGAAATCAAATACATTCTCAATTTCATATTTCTAACAAGGTATAAGATACCGAATAAGAAGTGGGTTGGAAATTTGATACTTGATTCAGATGGCAGTATTCCAAGACAGATTAAAATAGACTAAAAATATGTCACGAAAACACAACAAAAATATTAAATGTTTGGCGTCTCAGCCTTAGCCGCTCCTCTTTCGTTGGCTTAGCTGTAAGTCTGAGAACTTATAAAGCTAAAAAATATATTGCCCATTGTGTACATTACGAGTAATAACAAACAAACAAGTTTTAGGCAAACATCAAGTGCTATAAACCACAATATTAACATTAACTGTATTTGTATTTGCCATTAGACATACGTATTGGGCCAATTATATTTCAAATCTACATTATTTATTCAGACCTTTAGGGGTTTTCAAGAAGAAGCAGAGTGTAAAATAGTATTTTAACAACACTATGCCCACCACATCTAATGCTCAATATAGGCCTCATTTGGTGGTGTGTATCGTATTCTGGTTGTGTTTTACTTTTGACGTGCCGGTGGCTCAGTGGTAAGTCTGAAAGCTTTTAACGCTAAAAATCGTGTTTCGATACAGAAGTGGGCATAAAAAGCCCTCAGTGGCTCAATGGTAAGTATGTGGGCCTAAAATGAAAATTATTTGTTTGTTTTTTCTGTATTATCTGTACTGTCCTGCTACCAGACTCTATAATTTAACGCTAACATGTGCCGTTGTAAGTTATCTCAGTTGTCAGCTATAATTTGCTCTAGTTATATAGCTATATCTAGGTAGCTTGATTCGATCAGAAGTTAATATTAATTACAAAGCAGTAATATCAAGATGAAGAGAAGAGTGAAGTGACAATGAAATGTCTTAGACTGGTATAGCTTATGATCAGGTCTAACTAAATTATATGAAAATTTTGTAATGTTACATCTTTGTGGAAAGAAGGGCTTGGTATCTACAACAAAAAGTAATACGTTTATGTTAAAAGTATTTATGCACATTCACGTGTATTATGCTTTTGGAATTAAAATTTCTTCTTGTAATTCATCTGTATTTTCACTGAATAATTAAATAAAACGGTAATCAATGTACAAAATGTTGCTTTTATGTTATTTCACTCCTTCCAACTGTGATCAACGTTTTCATGCAGCATATAGAGGTGACCATTGATTGAAAAAATTCATTGAACTTCATATTTATTCATTATTTACTTTAAAAACTACTCTCTAGTTGACATTGTAACGAATTTGTTGTTATGTATTTATTTTAATATCAACGTTGTTAAGATTAAGTTTATATTTAAAAACATGCATAGCTTATAG